TTCTTCTCTGGCCACAGGAACCACCACTGGTGCCTTCAGTCCCCAACACTCCAAGTCCTGTGGTTGCAGACTAGGAAGGGCTCTGACTTAGGATGGGGAGAATGACCTGCCCTGACATTTTAGGGCACTCTGAATAAATTTTCTCATAGATATATTATTGAAGATAATAATTACCTTCACATGTCAACCAAGAAACTCCATAACCACTTTTTACAATGTTTTCATGGAAAAATGGCTTCTGAGTTTTAAATTCAGGAAACAGTGCCTTAGGCTCTTTTGGACAAAGCGAACAAATATTTTGGGTGAAACCCAAGTAGGTACTTGATTTTCCAACTAACTTAAATGTGTGAACTTTTAAAAGTGAAATCATTCAAGGTTTTAATATTTAACATGATGAGAACTTTTTAGGCACCCTTCAATCTGCTTTAGATTTCTCTACATCACCTTAGGAAGATGTTATACTGCTGACAACTAGGTGTGATTTTGTCACATCAAAATACATATACACCTGCGCTTAAGACAAAAAGGTGATTGTGAATAAGGCTCACAGTTCGAAGGTACAGCAGGATGGTATAGAGCAGACGGTTTGATAATGAGAAATTATAGTTTCCTGCAATTCTTGAGGACCGAAGGGAGGGAATTACTTGCCTTATGCTGGCAGCAATTTCCTTAAACCCTGTGAGATGGCATAGCTCAAGCTGTTGCAAATGTAGACAGAGTAGCTACCAGCCACAGCTCTTGGTTGGAGCAAGATTCCCTGAGGCATGAAATACATTGAAAAGCCTTTCTAAATAGGATTGATCACTTAATTTGACTGTTTTAGAGAAAATCCTACATAGTCTTCAATTTCTAGCATTTGTTCACAGTTTCCTGGAAGCTTATTAATTATTTCTACCATATATGTGGGTATATACATTCATATATATTTTAATTAGGTACTCTAATCATAGAGATCATCATCAATATATGGTGTTAAAAGTGTTAGACATTAGTTACAGAATATTCCTTTAGCTTGGCTTTCACAATATGGTACCATCAACACCAAGCTCTTCCTCTGAGAGAAAAAATTAAGTCTTTAGATGCATGTTGGTGTCTTTTTTTTTGCAAGATGGGTGTGGTGACATCAACCATTGCCACTAGTCCTCAAAACAGAGCAACCAGCAGCACAAAAAGGATCATCATGTTTAAAAACAGAGAAGCTGGTATCTGTTTTGTTAACCGCACACTTCATTTCGAGGGGTTAACTTTTGCCTCTCACTTATACTTTCTCTTTCATGAATGAGCAATTAATTACTTAGCCGCTGTCGCTGTTTCAGAGCTTCAGTTTACAATAGCCTTTTGTTTTCTTGCACACTAAAGAGCTTTGAAGGATTTCAATCTTCAAAAACACAGAGCACTTTTTTTCTCTTTATTTCTCAACACAAAAAAAAGTGTCTATTCTTATGTATATTTAATAACAGTCTTCAAAAAAGAGCCTTATTGTGCACCTTAACATGATCTGATTGATTCTTGCAGCTAAGTCAAAGGAACACATACAAATCTTAGCTCTGGGAAACATTTTCTATTTAAGAATTTTAAAGTGTAAACTTTATAATAAAGTAGGGGAGAACATGTAAATATGTTGTATTTCATTTTAAATACAGTTAAGCACAGTTTAAACACAGCCAACTCTTTCCAGATGATAATGTGACTTGGATAATGAAGTGCTTCGTCTTAAGTCACAGAAAGTTCAGTGCTGTTGCAGCTTACAATTACAGGGGGAGCTCTGTATGTCCTTATTTAAATATGTTTATCTCTTGACAACAAGGAGATGCATGTATTTATGTATACACATACATACAGTCTTCACAGGCAGAGGAAAATAAAAGACTGAGGCATTATCTGATAGAATTACTGTCTGTTGATAATACCTGAGACGTAAGTCCCTCATATCCCTCTTTTATTTTTTTTAATATATGAAATTTATTGTCGAATTGGTTTCCATACAACACCCAAGTCTCATCCCAAAAGATGCCCTCTTCAATGCCCATCACCTACCCCCCCCACCCCCCATCAACCCTCAGTTTGTTCTCAGTTTTCCCTCTTTTATTTCTTAAAAACAGATGTGGGTAAGACAATTAATCTGGCTAGGATAATAAAACTTCCATCCATTTTGAATGTATTTTTGTGTAGGGTGTAAGAAAGTGGTCCAATTTCATTCTTCCACATGTTGCTGTCCAGTTTTGAGCACTGGGTGTTAACATGTAAGCGATGAATCACTAAATTCTACTCGTGAAGCCAATATTACACTATATGTTAACTAACTAGAATTTGAATAAAAACTTGAAGCCAATATTACACTATATGTTAACTAACTAGAATTTGAATAAAAACTTGAAACAAAAATAAATAAAAATAAATAAAAGCTCAGATAACAGCATTTTTCTGCAATAAAGTATTTTTTAGTTGTTAAAAAAAAAACCTTCCATTATCTAGAATGGTTATGGAATTGAAATGTTAATTTAATAGTGTGATTAATTCAGCATTAAGTAGTACATACTTTCTCCTTTAACCCATGAAATTAAAAATGCAAATAATTCAGTTAAATATATAAAACAATTTCTATCCCTGGTAAAGATGAGCTGAACTTGGAATATACCTTTGTCTTGATATTAAAAAAAAAATTCTAGTCCTGACACAAGTTTACTGATTATCAATCACTTCTTTCTCATAATATTGCTGAGATCCCATGAGTGAACACACACATGCACATCAGTTAACAGAGGGCTCTAAGTAGTTACATTCCAGCAAATTGAGAATATACCATAAGTATCTCAGCTTCTAACTTCATTTTATATTTTACAAATACAGTATTTTACATTTAAAAATTTTTTTAAGTATTTGTTTTTTTTAATTTTTTTAAGTTTGTTTATTTGTTTTGAGAGAGAGAGAGAGAGCAGGGGAGGGGCAGTAAGAGAGGGAAAGAGAGAATCCCAAGCAGGCTCAGTACTGACAGCACGGAGCCTGATGTGGGGCTCAAACTCACAAACTGTGACATCATGACCTGAGCAGAAACCAAGAGTCAGACATTTAACTGACTGAGCCACCCAGGCACCCCTGAATTTTTAAATGTTAATATCTTCCTGGCCCACTAGAGAGCTTAATAAAGCATACTCCCAGCATTTATGTCAAAATCTTGTACAGAGTAAGACAGCAAGGCCAGGTATATACTGACCTGACAACCCATTATGCGATCACCTCTTGGCTCTGGTGGTCAGATACAATTTGCACTCTGGTAGTTGAGGTGACCACTGATGATGTCCTCCTGGGCTTGGACATATCCTTTTTCATCATCCTTCATTCAGTCAAACAGGGTTCAGAGTCAGAGTCATTCTACTAAGTGAGGCTCTTGGAGAATATCAGGAATCCAGTTAGGTTAGACTGACAAGAACCCAATTCTTTATAATTACCTCTCTGTACCACCATGGCATTTAGCGCCTCCAATGGAGACAGGTGGAATTCAGGTGATCAAGAACTTCTCCACTGTGGGAGACCAGGATGATTTGGTTAATTCTGGCTACATTATCAGCTTTCCAATTTTGTAATTCTATCTTAATATGACTACATTGAAACATATATAACGTATAATGAACTGTTTGAAAATATTTCATGTTTTGGCTTAAATTATCTCTAGGACACACTATCCCTAGTGCAATTTTGAATATCTGAATATGTTATCCTATTATGTGGCCATAGTATCATTTATTTAACCAATCCCCTGATGCTGAAAATTAAGATATTTTCATTTTAACATTAAAACACCACTCTGCCATAACTATCCATGCAGTTGTACTCATGAAAAGATAAAGCTCAGTGGTTAAGGGCATAAATTTTGGTGCCCAGCAGAGGGAGATTTGGGTCCTGTCACTTTCTAATGGTGTAATTTTGGATAAATCTCTTAACATCTCAAAGCTTTAGTTCTTTCATCTGTGAAAGGAAGATAATTTGACCTAATTCCTAGGGATTTTAAGAGCATCCAATGAGGAAGTACATGTGAATTCATGGTAAATAAATTAGTTTGCTCTTAAGTAGCTACCTATACTTATTTCCTTAAGATGAATTTATAGCAGTACCTGAGTAGCTTGGTTAGTTAAACATCTGACTCTTGGTTTCAACTCAGGTCATGATCTCACAGTTTGTGAGATGGAGCCCTGCATCAGGCTCTATGCTGACAGCACAGAACCTGCTTGGGATTCTGTCTCTCCCTCTCCTCTCTGCTTCTCTGTCTCTCTTTCAAAATAAATAAATAAACTTGAAAAAAGATGAATTTATAGACATGAAATTATATTGTTAATGTACATTTTTAAGGTCCTTGACTCATGTTACCTAATTGCCCTCATAGTATACAACTCCCAATAGCAATATCACATTATGGTTTGTATCTAGAATCATCAATAGGAGTTCTAGGTCTCGTTTCATGTGGGTACCTATCACAGGGACATATACACAGCACATGCTCCAATCATTGTTTGTTTAGTGAATATCTATACCTTTCCTTCTGATATGAATAAGCACATCTGGTTTTTTTGTTTGTTTGTTTGTTTGTTTGTTTGTTTGTTTGTTTGTTTGTTTTTAAACAGCACCACCGGGGCGCCTGGGTGGCGCAGTCGGTTAAGCGTCCGACTTCAGCCAGGTCACGATCTCGCGGTCCGTGAGTTCGAGCCCCGCGTCAGGCTCTGGGCTGATGGCTCAGAGCCTGGAGCCTGTTTCCGATTCTGTGTCTCCCTCTCTCTTTGCCCCTCCCCCGTTCATGCTCTGTCTCTCTCTGTCCCAAAAATAAATAAACGTTGAAAAAAAAAAAATTAAACAGCACCACCTTTTCAGAGACAAGGCCCTCCTTGTCATCAATTCTGGAGGTCACCACTGCAGGCAAATAGAACAAGTGGGCTTCACAGTCAATGGCAGTGGTTCTCATCTAGGGAATGTATTTTAAAATGCAGATTTCTGTGTTCTGTTTGCAGAGATTCTGATTCAGGAAGTTCCATTTGTGGCCCAGGAATCTAATCTTTATTTACCACTTTCCAACCAACACCATTCCTGACACGGGTAGTGTATGTGTTCTATCCTGATAACCACTGATCTCTATAGTCTTTGCCTCACAATGCCAGAGTTCTTTAGGTTCCTTCCAATCCTGTGACTCTATAATGTATTTTTTAAAGGCATCACCAATCAAAACAAGCTCAGAGGCCTTATAACTTATCCATAATATTTGATAATTATTAAAAGATGCATTGTTGCTAAACTAGCCAGGCTTTCTGCTGATTTGGGGGAAGAACAAGTGAAACAAAGACAAATAGTTTATCTTGGTACCTGCCCACACATGCCAAATTCCATCCTGGTATCTATTCCCCGCATGGTCTGCTTCATTTTGACCAAAAGTAAACATTATGTTATCACTCCATATCATTCTCCTTGATCCAAATGCCCACAGAGGGGCTGGAAGTGGCCTCCAAAGAGGGTCTCTTGCTGTCCTTAGTGAGCAGCCCAAAACCAACAGACCCAAGTGAAGGTTTGAAGAAGGTGGCCCTCAGAAAGTTCTTCAAGGAAAAGTCGAGGGTCACCAGCAAATTTAGCAACTGAGATCTAGAAGCCAATGCTCCTGAGAAAAGAGCATTCAAAGTGAAAAAGACAAATGATACTAGTAAAGAGCCTCTCTCAAGCTTGATTTCATGTAGTTTTGGCTTTGTGTAGTTCTTGGTACATCTATACCCAGCTTTTCTCAGAATGGTTCCCAATTACCCACCTACCCCGAGCCTCAGATAAGAAAACAAATGCTATCATACATCACTTTTCTCTTCTTATATAAAATAAAGATAGGGTTGTTAGGAGGATTACATTTGATGACTTAGCAGAATGCCTGTTACATAATACAGGTGGTCAGTCATTTTCCTTCTCTCTTCCTCTCTACCTTCACCCATCCTCACTCCCAAATCTGTCCTTCTGTATCTAAATAAGACTGCTAGTTCACATATCTCTATGTCTTACTTTTTAAGTAACCCACAAGAATTTGTTCAAAACATCATTACATACCAGCATATTCATTATGGACTTTATAATAAAAATATAACTCATGATTTATAACCTCAATCAATTTATAATCTGATAGGAAAGAGAAAACGAACATGCATATAGCAACTGGAGGACAAATAAAATTTTATTAAATGTTATTTATTAAGTAATTTAATTTATTACTTAATTTATTAAAACTTAATTTATTAAAAATTATCTGCTGGATCATCAATAAGTATGGTAGCAATTCAAAGAAAGGAGAAAGCTATGGGTCTGAATTTCCAAAGAAAGCTTCAAGGAATAGTCAGAGTTTAATCTTGGCTCTGAAATAAAAACATCTATACGTTACTTACTATGTGTCAGTTACTATACTAAATAGAGATAGGTTTATCTTTTATCTCTATCATTACTCTCTTCCTCTTTATGAAAGAACAATTCAGTTTGCATAGAGGCAAGGACATTACAGATGTGAGGAATGGGAAAAGAAGCAACTGAGACAAGAGAAATGTAGGGATTTGTTTCATGCATTTTTCAAGCAACACCACTGTCCAAATAAGCCCTTTTGAACTCCAGCATACCAGGCTTTATCTGTACTTTCCCACACAAGTCAATTATAGCCTGGACCATACTTCCTACACAATTCAAGTTCTCATCATTTATTGATAAAATAGCCCATGGCATTAAAAAAAAAAAAAAGTCTTCCATGCAAAATCATGGCAAATTACATGAGGAATAAGAATATTTTATTCTTGGGGCACCCGGGTGGATCAGTTGGTTAAATGTCTGACTCTTAATTTCTGCTCAGGTCATGATCTTATGGTTCATGGGCTCGAGCCCTGCATCTGGCTCTGTACTGACAGAGTGAAACCTGCTTGGGATTCTCTCTCTCCCTCTTTTTCTGCCCCTCCCCAGCTCCCTCTGACTCTCTCTGAAAATAAATAAATAAACTTAATTATAAAACTTAAATTTTAAAAAAGAGTATTTTATTCTTTAAGTTGTAGTCATAGAATTAACCTGACTTTCCTTGAACAATGAAAATGTTGCCAGGAAGAAATGATGCAATCTGAGGTAGTGGAAAGTATAGGGACTTTGACAGGTCACCAGAATTAGAATTCGTCCATTCCCTCCACCCCTGCCACTTGCTGTGTGACCATGGATAAATAATTTATTCTGAGTTTGTTTCTTTGTGTGTTAATTGAAGCTATAAAAATAATACCTGTAGTAGAAAATTTTTGTGAAGATTAAAGGAAATAATCTAGTTGAATGCCTTTTGGAAATCGAAAGGATTACAGAAATATTATTTTTATTATTATTATTATTACTGCTTTTATTATCATTTGCTGAACTAGGTATTGTTACATCAGGTGAATAAATTTAAGTTTGCTTAGAAGTAAATGATTCCTATAAAATATATGCTTGGTCTCCCTTCAGGTGTACTAAACTTCAGCTGTGTAATATAAGCATTTAACTGTCTTTTCCACATAAAACTTATTTGTGACTCACACAGATTCCTTTGCCTTATGAGGATGTTCAAAACACCTCTATCTATTCTAGAAAATAAAATTTCTCAAGTTGTTGCTTTTTTCTCCAAGCCTAAGTGCATTTTTCATTTCCCAAAGAAAGATGAGACAGCCAGAAGAATTGGTCTATTGCTGCCTCTTTAAAAGACTCTCTTCTTTCCATCGTTCCTGGCTTGTATTGAAACCAGATGGTAAAACCAAGACTGGAACATCCTTTGGTGTCCAGAAGGAGGCCAGTCTGGCCAAAGCATTGTCATTCTTGTCAGCAACCAGAGTCAAAAACATTTTTATAGTTAATCATCAGGAGTGCCTACTGGCTCTAACAGCCATGTATGCAGTATTTGTCAGCATGAAGGTTCTATCCACACCACAGATGACGCCATGTCGGCAAGAAATGTGTTTCGATATCCTTTAGCAATGAGCTGAGCAAATTTTCATGGCTGACTCCCAAAGCAAACAATGATATAAAATTTAGTGCCGGACTTCTTTTTCACCAAATTGTGTGGATACTAGTATCTTTCATTTATAAAACCTAACTCCTTCACAGCAAGTCTGCCCTGGAATACTCTTTAAAATATGGGAAGTTAAAGAACTGCAGCAAATTACTACAAATATTTTTAAAGAAATTAACCCACCCTAAAATGAACTTTCATTTCCAAAGATGGAGAGTTGCAGTCTTAGACTCTGAGGAATCAGAGTAATTTCATGGATGAGGGCCCACCAATAAAATCCTGTCTCTACCTATATTCAGTAATTAATTATAGCAAGGAGGCAGGGAATGTGAAAATAGCATAGAGTAAATGCATTATTCTTTGGAGCTCAAATAGAGAAGTTTTGGTGGCCACAGGAAAGGAATACTAACATTGTAAAACATGGCAAGGGCATAAGTTTATTAGGTCTTATATATAGCTGATGGAAGCTATTCATTTTTCAAGTACTATAGAAAAGGAAATCCAGATATCTGGAGAAGGACATTCAAAAACAGCTTCTCCACTTTACAGTTGAGGCTTGTCACCATATCAGAGGGACTCAGATGATTATTTCATGTGAAAGGTTCAAGTAGAAAATTTTGAAGGAGATGCCTAAAGCAGCAGAACTAAATTATGGTTACATATTACAGTATTGCAAGAGGATCTAACATAGGTCTGACTTTATTCTATAATGAAACTGTATATGTGTAATCAGCAAAACAGTGTTCAGGGCACAAACCATACAAGTTTCAGGTTGTAACTGATGAATGCTTGTAGAAACCAGAATCCTGTAATACTGACGTTACTCTCCCTACCATGATATATATATCCATAGTGTTTGTAATTCATAATTTTTGTACAAAACAAAATAAAAATTTGTTGTGCTAACCCTAATATTCCTCAGCTAGTGAAAGTTAAGATCCTTAATGAAATGCATATTTATTTACTTTGGATTGATAACATTTGAAATATGATGACCAATGTCTTTTTCTTTAAAAGTGCTTCCAAAATTATCTAAGATATGTATGTGTAGGATGATTTGGTTTGGTTCAGTTTCTCTCCTTTTGAAATTAAGACTATCTTCCCATAGATAAACCCAGGTTTATCATCAGTAGTGCTCTGTTATTTTTGAATTAACACTGAGAATATTAATATGGTACAATAGCCATTAAAAGGGACAGAGGAAATTTTAAATAGACAGTAGTTAAAAATCATTAAGACTAAAAGATTAGCATGTGCTATTTTAAAAGAGTAACAATTAAAAAAAATATTTTAGAGAAAGAAAAAATCTGAGAAATTTAGTCAGAGTTTTTGGTTTATATACTGTTATGTTATTCCTTGTCATCCCTTGGTAAAGCATAAGAAAAATAATGCATCACATCTTTAAAAAGATAGCAGTAATGTAGGAGACAGTACATGGATTTCTTCCCAAGAGCTCACTGACTAATTTAAATGTCTTTTGATTGGCCAATCATTTTCATTCCCAAGCAGAAATGATTGGAAACAAGCTTTCTCCAACCCCCCACTTTAGTTGTTAACTGAGCCAATCATTAAAAAGACCAGTTTTGAACCTACAGAGTAAATAGGTTCATACATTTAAAGAAACGTGGCTTTCTAACTGCCCTTTGTTAGATTAGAGATGCTTTATTTCATTCCTCAAGGAAAAGTTACTTGTTTTGCTTTCTGAAACATAAAGTGAGATGCAAACAGCTTTACAATAAATTAAAATGTTCTGAAAAGAATCCTAATACTGAAAGATATCTCTACTCATTAACCAAGGAGCTACTCATTCTGAATGATAAAAGTTGTATTAGGTTAAAAAGTATTCTTCAGAAAGGAGTTTCAGGATTCTGACCTTCTTTTACTTCGTTATTATATAAAAAGGGAGCTTGAAATCATCTAGAAATAATAAAAAAAAATTTAAGCAAGGCCCCTGATACCAATTTTCTCTTCACATTTATATTAAGAAGCTAATAAAATATAGATTAAATAAAGCCAGAAGATCCATATAAGCCCTCACTTGTTATGTAAGGGGCCAGGCCTTATG